CTGTGTACTTATCTCTAACAGGTTTTGTTTTGCTGTGTCATTTTTCCTTGCAGGAAAATGTCAGTTGTTTGAACACAAGTTTAGTTATCCTGATGCTGGCCCGAAGGAAAGAGAAACTCCCTTTTTATCTGCGCACCTTGCAACAGATGGAGTACTCAGAGAAGTACCCAGGCTTCATCCTGAACAACTTCCACAGCCTCCTGAGATTCTGGCAACAGCATTACCTCAACAAGGATAAAGACAGCACCTGCTGGAAAATGTCAGTTGTTTGAACACAAGTTTAGTTATCCTGATGCTGGCCCGAAGGAAAGAGAAACTCCCTTTTTATCTGCGCACCTTGCAACAGATGGAGTACTCAGAGAAGTACCCAGGCTTCATCCTGAACAACTTCCACAGCCTCCTGAGATTCTGGCAACAGCATTACCTCAACAAGGATAAAGACAGCACCTGCTTAGAAAATGTATCCTCTTAGCATCAGGAATCAATCACAGCAATACCTGCCTGGAAGTGGGAGGTTGTGAAAGGAAAGGAGGGAGGGAGTTCTGTGCCCAGTGTGACTTCTGTAGTGCTTTTCTCACCTTCTTATGCAGTCAGACTACTACAAGGCAGGCATTGGGTTTCTCTGCCAGCAGCACCTGAGGTGTTGGCTCTGGCACACCCAGTGCTGAGTGGGTTTGAGTGGCAGGGCTGGCAGGATGGCCAGGGATGTGGAGGCAGGACAGAATCCAGCTCCTAGGCTAGTTAGCACCTTAACCACACTCTTCCCTCTCTTCCTGCTGTGGCAAAGAGTGCAGGTGCAGCTGCTAGAAGACATGAGAGCTGCCCCATGGAAAGCAGCCTGCAGGTTTCTGCTCCAGAGCTTCTCTGTGCTGGGCACTGGGGAAGAAATGATGTGTCAGGAGAAGGCAACTCCCTTGTATATGCCCTAGGAGGCTGAAGTGAGGCTGCACAGGTTTCTTCAGTGACTTTCAGTGACTGGGTGGCAGCTTTGACAGATTTTTAATGTACTCAGGGAAAAGCCCTTCAGTGCAGGCAGTGTGCTACAGACACAGGGTACCTGAAGAGGAGGAGCAGCATTAGGTTTTTGGAAGTAGTTAAAATAAGGAGCTTCAGATCCCAGAAAGGAGGAGTGTGATGGAGGGAGAAGCTGCACTGAAAAGTGCAGACTTTGAGGCCTGTTCCCCCAGCCTCATTTAGCAGAGCAGCTTCCTGCTTGGGTCAGGCTGGGCTGGGCCCTGGGGAGCAGCAGGGTGACCCAGGGCCTGCACCCCTGGGCTGTGTCACTGTGTTCATGCTGTGGTTTGACATGTTCATGGGGCACTTTGCTGCTGGATGCAGTGGGGAGATGCTGCTGAGACCAAAGCTCTGCCATTGCTGTGTTTTGGGGTTGCAGTGTGTCACAGCACAATGTGCCTGGGGCCACTGGTGAGTGGGAATAACCAGCTGTCCAGTGTGTAAAGGCTGTGGGGAACATGATGTGGCTGGAGCAGCCTTTTGGCTCTGTGGGAATGATGCAGGAGGGATGCAGGCAGGAAGGGTGTGTTGTCTTTGTGTCTTCCCAGGGGTGAGAGCCAACACTGACTTACCTGCAGCACCACACTGACCCAGTTTGTGTTTGGACTGGACAGCAAAGGAGAATATTTGGATTTGTGTGGGTGTGCTGGCCCAGGCAGCCCTGCTTGCTAGGGTGATGGTCCTAGCAGCACTGTAACTGCCACAGGTGCTGGGAGCCCCTGGCTGGAGCTGGACAGTGGGAGGCTGGTTGTAGATTTGAGGGTGTAACCCCCTGGTTGTAGAAGTTGCAGTTGGTTCAGCATTCACCCAGGGAGGTTGGGCAGAGTGGTGAATCCCAGGTGTTACACCATGGGCCTGGGGAGCTCAGGCTGAAGCTGTTTAAGTTGTCCCTGCTGAATGCTTTTGGGATGTGTCTCCTGTTCTGTGTTTGGTGCTTTGGACAACACTAACCATCCTCTTCATCTCTTCCCACAGAGCTCATGTATTAGTTTTACCTACTGGAAAGAGACTGTATCTATACTGCTCAGTCCAGACCGGACATCCCCCTGTGCCATAGTTAGCTACATCGACGAGGCATATATGGACATTGACAGAGACTTTTCTGAGGAGTAACTCTTGGCTCCAGCTCCATGGACAGCGCTTGGAGGGTCCCTTACAGCCCGTGGATTTTCAGGGATACGCTGTGTAGTGTGTGTGTGTGGCTTGGAACCGTTGGAGCATTGTCAAACCCCAGCCCCCTCCTGGTCCCCACCTCTGATCTCTGATGGATGAGACTTGGACAAGCTCTGTGGGCAACACATTCAGGGATGTATCTTCCAGTTGTTCTGGGATAAAAATTACCACCTGCAAAAACCAGCCTCTACTATTTTATTCCTCTCTCCCAGCCCAGTGTGGCTGGACAGGGATGGTTTTGCTGACATACTCTGTATGTGCCAATTGAGCTCTCTCATGGTTGCCAGAATGAGCAGGTCAAAAAGCACAGCAATTGCCCTCCAAATGTGAGGTCCCAGGAGCCAATCTGACCAGGACCCCAACACCAGCCACGTGCAGAGCCACCACGAGGACTCCTTCAGGTGTAACTCCTCTGCTGGGGTTTGGAATTGGGGTAGGGTTGGTTAGAGTGTGAGTGAGTGTGTGTGTGAGTGTGTGTGTGCTTAATTCCTGAGAGCTCTAGCTCCAGTCACCTCTTTACCATCTCCTTTTGGATCATTTGGTACTAAGTCTGTCTGTGCATTAGGAGAGAACCTCTGCTCCTGCTGTCCTTCCTGCAGATCCTTCCCAGCCAGAGGTGTTTTCCAGTGCTGCAGAGAACAGACATTTCAGCAGTGGTGGGATTGCAGCAGGATTGGCTTTTTACACAGGGCACTAGCATTAAAATGTACTAATTTTTTAAACTTGTGGCTTGTCCCTTCTTGGGTAACTAATCTGGTTTTAAACTCCTTTTCAGGACCATTTGCTCTTGATGTTAACCTGCTATGCCTGGAAGTCTTATGTCAGTCTCTGCTTTCAGTCTTTAAATAGCAACACACACATTAATCTTGAAGTGCAATATTTACTGGAGATGTCCATTTTCTTTTTCCTGGATCTGTTTTAATCAAAATGTGTTAAATGCTGGGAATAAACACTCCTGGTTGAAAGTAAACTTTGTAGGATATCTTGGGAAAGGAGGAATTGGGTTGTGGCAGTCCTGCCTGCCAGACCTGCACGTGCTTACCAACTCTGTTGCTCCAAGACAGTCAGATTCCCAGGAATGAGATAGTCCTGAGCCACTGCATTCAAGGCAAAAACAGCTAAAAGAAACCAGTTTGGAAACACACATCTGCATTTTTTTTGCATTTTCGAATTTATTTGATGAGATGACTTCAGCTCTGTCCTGGCTCTGGAGGGGTGAGGATATCCCAGAGCTGCAGCATTTTGTCCCTCGTCATTGCCAGCAGAATGGAACCCTCTCTGAGGCTCCCTGTGCTGGGGCTGGAGGAGTGAACGAGGCTTCCAGCCCCAGGGGCAGGACTTGGCCCTGAGCATTGCCCTTCTCCTCTCTCTTCTCTCACACCTCCGTGTCCTGCTAGGGACATTCAGTCAGTACTTTGCTTTTAGGGTGGTCAGAGCTGCTGAGCTTGTGCATAACCCTGGAGCCTTGCAGGAGCTCCTGGAGATCCTCATGTCCCTCCCTGGGGGTTGCATCCCCCTCTGGTGAGGTTACCCCAGTGTTAGCTCCTTGCTGCAACTCTGTTCTTCACCAGATCCTCCCCACCCTGCCCCTCCCTCCTCTCAGCTAATTTCTTTCTCATCTGTACTTTTTTTGTTCTTGGGTATTTGTGTTTTGGTGTATCTTTGCTTCTTCTTAACTGTAATAGATGTACACTTAAAATAAATGCTTCAAATTAAAAAGCTTTTAAGTTAAGGGATGCCTTTTCCATAGTGTAGTTAATTGGTGCATCCACTGATTGCTGCTATGACCCTGCACAGTCTCACTCCCCTCGCTGTGTTTTAAAGACAGGTTGGGGCTGAGCTGACCCCACACCATCCCAGGCCTGGGAGCACAGGCGTGTTCGGGTCCTCACCTGTTGGAGGCCACTTGGCTTTGCTTTTGGGCTGATGCAGGAGGCTGAGTTGGCAGAGAAGGGCACAGGGAAGAAACCCAGAGCAGCTCCTCTGAGGATAGAGCTGTGCTCCAGGGGAAAGGCTCTGTCCCAGGGCACAGAGGGTCTACAGAGGCAAATCCTAACTTGGGCCATGTTCCTTTGGGCTCATCTGTCCATGCCAGATGCATCAAGAATCAGTTTGGGAGGGACCAGACAGCTCTGTCCCTCCTTGTTCTGTGTTGGTCATGGAGAGCAGAGGGAGGAGGTGTCCCATGTGGTGCTGGGGAGAGCTCTGGCTTTGTGGAGATGGCAGCAGGCTGTGCTGGAGGGGGGGGAAGATGGGACCCCTAGCACTAACAAATACCTCTGGAAGTCTGCACTGTCCCCATGGATTGCTGAGGTTTGTGCTGCCCTCATTAATGCCAATTTACTAATTGCAAATGAACATATTAAATGGAAACTATTAAAGAAATCTATTTTAAAGAAATGAGTGATGTCTTTCTTTGCAGTGCCTTTTGCCAAACCTTCCCTGGGCCCTGCAGGACTGGAGTCTAGGGAGTTACCATCTCAGGTGTAGTGGTGGGGTCTGTTCTGCCCTCCTGCCCTGCCTCACCTCTTGGCTCTGCTCCCCTGCAGCTGAGAGGGCTGAAGTGTTTTGGTGGAGAGGGTTAAGGAAAGGGCTCTTGTCTCCAAACCCATCCCAAGCTAGAGCCTTAGAACTTGGAGGGAACACCTGGACGTCTCTCCTGCTCCTGCCTGGCTGTGAAAGATGTCCCCCAGTGCCCCCAGCAGCAGAGGCTGTTACCCTGGGACGGACACCACAGAGCCAGTCCTGGCAGATCGACATTTATTCACACAGTGCAAAGCTGGCAGTGACTGTTGCAGCCATTTGCCTCCAACCTACAGCAGCATCTGGAGCAGAGCAGGGTAGGATGAGCACTCAGGCTCCTAGTGCTGGGAAGAAAACCCAGAAAGACTTCGGTGAGAGATGAGATCTGGAGAGAGGGAGCACTCTGCCAGCCTTCAGGTCCTGGCAGCAGGGCCACAGCAGGCCGTGCTGTAGGGCCCCGGCTCCCGGGCTGGCAGCTCCCTGTGCCCCAGCCAGGTGTGCTCACCTTGGAGGTGATGATGTCCCTGGTCCGGGCACGCAGCTTGTTGACCTGTGTCTCGGCGATGTCGGCGCGTTCCTCCGCGTCGTCCAGCTCGTGCTGCACCTTGCGGTACTTCACCAGGTTGGAGTTGGCCTGCTGCTCCTGGGAGGGGCAAGGGGAGAGGTGTGTGCATGAGGCATAGGCAGAACAGAGGGCTGTGAGCTCCCCAGCTCAGCCCTGCAGCCATCCCAGCCCCGTGCCCTGCCCCAGAGAGCAGCAATGGGCACTTACTGCCTCCTCGAACTGGCGCTTGTAGCTCTTGACCTTGCTCTGCAGTTTGTCGATCAGGTCCTGCATCCGAGTCAGGTTCTTCCTGTCCTCCTCAGCCTGCAAGTGCCCTGGCTGTGTTAGCAGCACCCCCAGCTCACAGTCCACCTGCCACCCACCTTTATCAGAGCGTCCCAGTGGTGCCAGGGTGTTACACACAGAGCCACCAACCCACCCCACTACCCCAGCCCTGTGTCACAGCATCTGTCCCCTGGGTCTCCCCTTGTGTCCCATCACCCAGCTCAGGAGGTGCTGGGAAACAGGACACAGAGCAGTGTGTGGATGTTGTGACAGGGCTGTCCTGCCTGTGTCACTCCCTGCACAGAGCCCAGAACAATCCCAGGCTGGGCTGGGCTTGGCTGGGGAGTATCGGGTAAGACAAGAGGCTGAGCAAACGGAGAATTGTGCCAAGTCCTGTTGGGCTGGGGCTGGCACTGTGGTCTGTGCTATACCTGATAGCTCAGCTCCTTGATCCTCCGCTCATACTTGCGAATGCCCTTCTGGGCTTCAGCCATCTTCTTCTGCTCCATATCCAGCTCTCCCTCCAGCTCCCGCACCTGCAGGTGGGCAGAGACCAGCTCAGCACTCTGCTCCCAGGCACCAGCACCAGCTCCAGCTGAGGCTAAGTCACTTTTCCAGCTCAGAGAAGCCACAACAGAGGCTAAACCACCCCAAGCACAGACCCAGACTTGCAGGGCCTTGTGGATTTTCCCATGGTCCCCCAAAGGCACCACCTGGCCCCAGAGGGATGGGGCAGTGCTGGTGCCCCACAGAGCCTGGGGCAGCGCCAGGGGAACACAGCCAGTGATCTGTCCCTGCCTTCTCACCCTGGCCTCCAGCTTCTGGATCTGCTTCTTGCCCCCCTTGAGAGCAATCTGCTCTGCTTCATCCAGGCGCATCTGCAGGTCCTTGATGGTCTGCTC